TTTTGCATTGTATTTTTTTTAAGCTGGGAGGAATTTGCAGTTGAATTGGTTGGCAGGGTGTTTTTTATTTAATGAGCTGTTGCTGAGAGATTGCTGTGTTAGGAAGGGTGAAGGTATAAACATGGTCTCGGCTTGTGGGGGAGATGGCTGGTCATGAGGAGCCACAGGCCAGCCAGGGGTGGGGCCTGCCCCCTGGCCTGCCGTCAGACTGCATTGTGTCTGGAATGAGTCCCCAAGGCTGTTCTCTCTAATCACAGTTCTTGCCTGCCAAGCGCATCCTGGACTCTATGTCTCCGTTCGCCTGTTGAGCCCACATGGACAGCCTCCCCCGCTCTTGGTTCTAGCTAGTCCTCTCAAGGCTGGTGCTCGTTCCACTTCTACAATGTCTCCTCTGCCCCAGCTCTGCCCAGGTTCTGGGGAGGAGTATATATAGCAGGACAAACAGGAGCTTCAGCATACCTGGCCCAGGTGCTGCCTACCCTGTGTCCCCAAGCCCAGGGCCATGGTCTTTCATGCCCAGCCCAGAGTTCTTGGAGAATCAAGTGAGAAAAGGTGTGTGAGACAGCTGGAGTAGAGTGACTTGCTTTCTCTGGACCATTTTTAGAGGGAAAAATAGTCTTAGTCTGTATGGAATGATATTTGGTTCGGATTTATTGGACTAAATCCACACTGAAATGTATAGTGGAAATCACAAAATTCTTTGTGCTTTCCCTGCTGGAAGGGATTTGGTGCATTGTGGCACAGATTCGATTATTTGAGTCTGATGAATAGCAGCAATTTTCTGGCCCGTAAGTGGCGGTGGAGCTGCGTCTTTATTGATGAGGTCTGTGTCCACAGAGGACGCCTCCGCAAGCCCAGGAACCACCTGGCGGGGGTGGTTTTCTTTTTTCCATCAGTGAGTCGTAACTGGCTTCAGAGGAGGCAAGATATCCTCAGGTCTAAAGGTGTAGGGTTTGGAGTCTGTTGTCTGCCTGACGTATTGGCAATGTGCATGGGAGGAGAAATGAAATGTCAGCCATTCATTCATTCAGTCATTCTTGCCAAGAATTTGGGACTCCAGCTCTTTGTTACTAGGACCCCAGTGTCCAAATCACATGCAAAACAGCTGTCTGTTTCTCTTCCCACAGCTTGGGAAGGTGGCTGTGCCCCACGGGCCAGTCACCAAGTCTCACTGAACCTCAATTTCCTCACCTCAGATGGGTTCGCAGTGGCTGGCTCAGGGGAAGGGGACACTCAGTGAACTGATGCTACGATGCACCCACATGGCGCCCCTCCCTGAGGGTGGTTTCCCCCATGGTGCCAGCACAGTACCTGCACCTTGGGTGCAGGAGGTGTTGCAGGCTGAGCACATGGGCAGAGCTTGAAAGGAAAGAGACGCTGGCCAGAATGACAGAGTCGCCTGCTGAGGGACAGGGCCAAGGCTGAAGCAGAGGCCATGCTGTGGCTCCAGGAACTTGTCTTATAGGAAGAGGAAGCTTGCTGTACTTTTAAGGGAGAAAACAGACAGGGTCAGGGTTATTGTTTCAGGAGATTAAGCTCTGAAAGCATTGTGGCAGGTAGTGAGGAGTATCTGTGGGAGGCCAATAGATGAAGGGGCAGGAGGAGAGCATGAGGCCTGGACTGGTACAGTGGGGAGTCTGGAGCCCCTTCGGAAGTAGAATGGACAAGACCTGGGCACAGATTGGATGTGGGGGTTTGAGGGGATGGTGAGAACTCAGAAATGACTCGCAGGCTTCTAGCTTGGGTAATTAGGTGGGTGACGATGCCAAAAACTGTGACGGGAAGGAGAGGAGGAGGTCTGGGCTGAAGAGGAGACAATACAGTCATATGACTTGATGACTGTAATGTGTCCACACCCACAGAGAGCTGCTTGCAACTGTAAAAAATAAAGTATGACTCGAGGAGCACGAACCCACTTCCCTGACTCCCTTAGGAACTTTAATCACAAATAAGGTTCTGAATGACCTGTCGTCAGATAACGCTAAACAAACTGCTTTGTCATTCTGGCTGCTAAATGGAGAGAGTAGGGTAACTCTGTTGGGTTCCAGCATCCCCAGGTTCCCTGGAAATTTGGGGAGGTCTAGAGCGCACCACCAGCGAGAGCTTAGGTTTAGATCCTGGCCCTGCCACTCACTGAGACTTTATGCAAGTCACAAACCTTCTTGAATGTCTCTCCTTCTAGCCATTAAATAGGCCTCACTACCTCACTTTGTGAGGCTAAAATCTGTCAGACCATTCAACACAGCCCGGCATATTGTAAATAATAAAGATCAGCCACTGTGGTGATAGCGGCCGCTTTGTCTAGCCATACTTCAGGGTAGGTGTACTGGGTTTAAAAATCTGCTTATGGCTTCTGTGCCCATGGAAAAAGTGAAGCCTTGTCTTAATAACTGCTACATCTTTGTGGTGATAAGAATAAAGTTTCCATTGTTGTGATAGATTTTACCTCTTAATATATGTCTGTCTTTCATTCATTCAGCAACAATGGAAGCTGTCCCAAAGAACTCATGATTAGTAGGGGAACCAGCCAGAAAACATACAACTCCATGTGAGGTAACAGTGACATTACATGGCTCCTGGGCAGCTAGGGCTCAAGGCACAGGGGAGAGGAGGCAGCCTAGACTGCGAAGGAGTGTGTTCTGGGGCTGGATCAGATGCTGGGGAGAGGTTGCTGGTGGCCAAGGACAGAAGGTTGGTTCTTCATAGAAGGAACCTGCAGGTACTCTGGGACCTGACCCAGTGTGGTGGGTAGAGGCTGGCGAGACAGCCACCCTAGATGACATCCCAGGGTGGCCCTCTGGGCTGTGAGTGATGGAAAACCGTGGCAGAACCTAAGGTGGGAAGTGTAGAGATCAGCTCTCCACATAGGAACATTCTTCTGCCAGGTGCATGAGGAATGGCATGGAGAGAGCAGGCCGGCCTCAGCAGTGGGAAAACTAACGTAGGAACATTGATGCCTGATGGCAGGCTCAAGAGTTTGAGGAGGTTAAATGAGCCAGGCTTGGTGACCATTGGAGGGTGAGAGGAATCTCCAGGTCTCTGCTCGGCCCCCAGGTGGAAAAGGAGCACAGCTTTTCAGGGACCCTTGGCATGAGTCCCAGTCATCTGACAGGCCAGAGAGGTCTGGGAGATGCCAGAAAAGATGAGGTGCCTGAGAGAGCCTATGAAGCGAGGGGAGCAAAGGGGTGGAGCTGGGGCCATCTGAAATGGGGGGTGGCACCCAGCTTTGAGCTCAGGGGCTCCATCCCTGGAGATCCTGACAGGCCTGAGTGAGTTCCCTATCAATAAGCCATTGCCCTAGCCAGGGTTATTTTGCCACAGGTCTTCAGGGACTTTTTGGTTCCTTCTGGCCTCACGGGGACTCCACTGGGGACATTTTTGCCCCTAGGTCACCAAAGGTACTGTGCCTGTGGGGTTTGCCTTAACTAGTAGCCTTCCCACTGGGCTCTGCTCTGCAGTTCTCAGCGTGCACTTAACACACTGACTCCTCTGAGATACTGTTTTGTTTGTTTGCTTTTCTAATGGGCGGACTTTTTTCTTTTGCCTATTTATACAAACAGTATCAGTTAAAGGTGGGGGGGGGAGGAGAGCAGTGCTGCAGTCAGAGATCTGGTCAGCAGAGGGGCAGGCCCCACTGTATCTTGGGGAGATCATCCATGCTACCTGGTGTCTCAGCTCGCCTCTACATCTGGTGTCGCAGCTGGCAGGCAGCAGGGAAGAGAGGAGACAATGATAAGAGGAAGTTGACAGGCCTCTGCGCTGGGCCTCCTGTCCCACTGCCCTTCCCCAGCCATGGTCCCTGTGAGCAGGGAAGGATAGAAAGTAACACAAGCTGGAAACTGGGAGCTGGCCAGTTAAACTAAACATGGAGAAGTATTTTTCTCTTCTAGGAAAAGTATGCTTCCTCTAAAAAGCCTTAGGGTACTTGTTTTCCTATTTTAAATAAGAGGAACATTTCCCTAGTGGCCTTGGGGGTAGCCGCTGTCGGCCTGTTTCTTCCACAGAGGGATGTGGGGCCAGTGTCACCAGATGTTTAAAATTTTCAGGAAAAACACAGAATTCTGACTGAATGAGGGCTCTACCATTGGCGCACATTCTTAAAAATAAACACTGCAGGCCAAGTGAAGTCTGCCTGGGGCTTTGGTTGATGTTCTCTGGGCTGCTGGGCCTCGCTGTCTGGCCATGACACCCTGTGATTTATCATCCAGGGAGGAGGGATCATTACACAGGATGGAGTCCTCTCCACATTCTGAGTGGTGGGGGCAGTCCAAGGCCCTTCCCCAGTGTCCACTTCTTTGTCAGGATTAAGCCAAATCTTTCGAGTGGCAAATCACAATGTACACAGCTGACAAAAACCAGAGCTGCCCTGGTTGTAGGGAGAGGCTGCAGTTCTGCCTTGAGGCTGCCCTCTCTCCGCCCCCACAGGGCACTACTGCCAGGCTTCACACCTGCTGGCAGGCACTCTCACCCCTCCCAGCCCTGGCATTCTGTGGGTTTCATGGGAGGAGGGGGATGGCAGGGCCAGAAGGCAAGCAAGCCACAGTAGGGCCACCCCACAGCCAGCTCCTGGCCGAATCCTGCCCCGTCTCCCACACAGCAGTTGGCTTTCCAGTGGGTGCCACCACGCTTTCTGGGTGTGTCCCATGCATTTTTACCTCCTCACATGAAGTCTGCAGGGGCATTTCCATCTCACAGGTGGATAAACCAAAACAAAAAGAGCAAGTGAGTTGCCCACAGAGTCACTTGGCTAGAATGTGGAGGTCCCAAATTCCGTACAGGCCTGTGAGACTCGTCAGGCTGCCTCCTCCACTTGGGGCTTTCGTTAATCTTCACTGAGAATTGCCCTGCTCTGGGCGGCAGTTCTGGTCTGTGTGGATGCTGGGTCCTGTAGTGATGGTTTTTATCCCCGTGTTTCTGTGACACACTTCAGTTTGCAAATCCTTTCAGACGTGAGCACATTTATGGGGCAAGGCTTGATTCATCTTTTTATCACCATGCAGGAGGCAGAACCATCTGAGTCCAGAAGTGCTGAGGTGACAAGAAAGCCCAAGGCTACTCCTCCTTCAGCGAATAAGAGGCCCAAGAAAGAGACCAAGAAGAAGCGGTAGAAGAGGAGCCTACAGAGCCAGGCAGGTGGGGTGAGGGCCTTGGGACAGCCCTCCTGGGACTCAGCCTTCTCTTCCTCAGCCTGTCCCACGCCCAGGGTCTGAGTGCTGGAACACCCTCTGACCACAGAGATGTGGCTGATCATGACAGTGTCTTGGCCCCAGCTGGGCAGGCTACCACTTCCTCTTCCTTCTGCTTCCATGACGGTTTGGAGCCACGGAGACTGAAATGCCACTTGAGCAGAGACTGACTTAGTAGGGGCAGACGTCAAGTCAGCTCATAGGATTACACTTTTTTTACTTAATCATCATATCCAGACTCAGTCACCCCTCTGGTAGATTTACACTACATTTTAGAGTTATGTCTAAGGCCGCCAGGCACCGCCCTCTCCCGTTATTTGTGTACAACTCATCTCCTCCTATTCAGTCAGCTTTGTCTCTGCTTATGCAGATGGAACCAGGCAGGCCTCACTTGTTTGTTTAGATCGAGATACCATGACCACTGCTATGTGAGTGGTCCCACTAGAGCCACAGCCAGGTCTGGCAGGGGCCTGGTATGAGAGCCAGAGGTAGGCCTGGGCCAGGGATTTGGCTGGATGAGTGCATGTTCCTTGGGTCCAAACTCCCCAAGCCTCCAGTGGGGAGCTTATCAGTCTCTCTTCCCCACCTATCATAGCACATTCAAGGTGTGCCTTTGGCTTCCATATGTTACTCTTCCCCTCTACCCCCCAAATTCTTTCATCCTTTGACCTGACCTGAGGAAATGTTATTTGAGTAAATGTAAATAAATGGCCCATATGCTGTAACTCCAGTGTTGTCTCCTGTGTGATTCTGAGGGACTCTGTCCTGGGGGCTTAGAGCAGTAGGACAGGGGCCAGAGTGGGGTGGGTGGGGAAGTGACTCTGGGACAAGTTTTCAGAAGGGTTCAGACAACTACTTACGTGGCTTTTAGTCACTGGAAATACTTGTTGAAGCTGATGCCTGTGTTAGAGTTTCCACTGAGGCCAGGCCCCACTCATTCCCTGGTTCCTGTTGCCTGAGGAAGACCCTACTTGATCTCAAGAGTAGCTTGAGAAAAACCAAAGAAGCCTCATGTGACCTGGGGCCACCCGGATACAGTCATATGACCTGAATCAGCTACCAGGGAAATGCCTCCTCGCTGTGGTAACTCAGATTTGCACGACTTATTTTCAGTTTGCCAAACACTTTCCCAAATGTTGTCACAATTGCCAAGGAGGGACTTAAGGAATGAGCATGTACCAGTTCCATTTTAAAGATAGAGGCTGAGGGCCCTCCCTGGTGGTACAACAGGTTAAAGCGCAACACTATGAAGCTGTCAGCAGCCACTGCAGCACGAGTTCGGTCCCCAGCCAGGGGTGTGATCCACGTGGTGCAGCAGACCTCTCCTGACCCGCCCACTGCTCCCCTCAGCAGTGTACTTCATTGATCTGCCTTTTCTGATCCCCACTCTGTCTGGTGAATCCTCTCAACTCTGGCCTGTACCCCAGTTCTTGTGTGTGTGTATAAATAAATAAATCTTCAAAAAAAAAAAAAAAGATGGGGGAGCTGAAGTACAAACTACTGGGTGCTGACCACATCCAGTGCCCTTTCCTTGGTGTTTAACATCTACCAAGTGAACATGAGCCTGGGGCTCTGAGGGTCCCGCCATGCTGTGGCGGGCAAAGGGTTTCCAATACCTTAGGTTTCAGAGGTGATAGTACCTAGAGTTTCTGCAAAACAGATGGCCTGCCAGATACTAACATGAGAAGGGGCGTCTGCCAAGTATTTCAGTTCACATAGGCTGAGAAATAAGGAAAAACATTTCGAAAAACCCCAAGAGCCTAACTTTGTAGGAGACTCAGCCAGGTATATAAGCTTCGTTTGGGGGGTTCCCCAGTGGGAGAGCAGTGAGTGCCCTCACTGGGCAGAGGAACCCCCAACTCAGCCTGGGGTATAAGCACTGCCCCTGGGAGGAAAGGAAGTGGCCAAGTGAATCTGGAGGCCCAGCTGACATGGAGACCAGAGTGAAAGTGCTGGAAGAGTAAGGATCAGACTTCTAGAATGTACCTATTCTAGTTTTCTGGAGGGAAAACAGCTTCTGACTCAGGAGTGGGTCTGCCTCAGTAGGTCTGACTCTTAAATTGTTTCCCATATAGACTCTTGCCAGAGAACAGCTCTAGGAAAGAAAGGGTGGGTGTTCATTCCACTGACCTCTCATTGCACAGCTACTAGAACAGTTTGTAACATTTAACTATCTTGGCTTCTAGAAACACCTGCCCACCCCCCCACCCCACCCCCGCCCACACACGCCTAATTTTCCTCCTACATTACTGGTTCTTCCTCAACAATGGGGTCTCTGTTCTTGGTCCTCTTATCTCTATATACACTCTCTCAGAGATCCCATTCAGGCGCATGGCTTTAAGTGCCAGACTTAAATATTTGGCTTTCTACTCAATGTCTCCATTGGGATACCAAACAGACATCTCAAAGCAAATTCCTTATTTCTCACCCTCTCTGGTCAAGCCAGAGAGGGAAGTTATCTCTCTTGTGTTTGGCCATAGCCTCCTTATAGTCCATTCTGGACACAGCAACCAGTGGAATTCTCCTAAAACCTGAGAGATCATCTCACTCCCATCTCGCCCAGGTAAAGGCTAAGGTCCTCACCAGGACCCTCAAAGGTCTGCCTCTCTGACCTTGTGATGGACCACTTCCCCCCTTGCCCCTTCTACTGCATCCTTACTGGCTTCCATCTTCCTCAGACATGCCAGGCAGACCCTGCCTTGGGCCTTTGAACTTGCCATTTCCACTTCTTTAGGCACTATGCCACATGTGGTAGACAGAATAATGCCCCACCCCCAAGATGTCTATGGCCTCATTTCCAAGACCTCTAACTACATTTGTCACCTGATGTGATAAAAGTGACTCTGCATGGTTGTGATTAAATTAAAGGGAGAGATTATTGTGGATTTTCTGTAAGGAAAAGATGGAAGCAGGAAAGTGAAAGGAAATGTGATCACGGAAGCAGAAGTTGGAGTAATGTGGAGCCATGAGCCAAGGAATGCAGGCAGCCTCTGGAAGCTGGAAAAGGCAAGGAAGTGGATTCTCCCCTAGAGCCTATGGGAGGAGCAAAGCTTTGCCAATGACTTGATTTTAGACCAGTGAATCCCATTTTTTACTTGATCTGAAGAACTGAAAAATATTACATTTGTGTTATTGTAAGCCTTGAAGTTTGTGGTAAATTGTTAGACCAACATAACCAAACAGATACACTTCCCTCAGGTCATCACTGGGAAAGTCTTCTCTGGCCACAATTTAAAATTGTGACCCTTCCCTGAGCTTCCAATCCCCTCACCCCCTCTCTTTTTTTTTTCCTCCTTTGCACATATACTAACATACTTTGTACTTTATTTCTTTTGTATCATGTTGTATCCCAGTTAAAACATGAGTTCTTGGCCCTCCCTGGTGGCGCAGCGGGTTAAAGCACAGCACTAAGAAGCTTAAGCCACTTCCACATGAGTTCGATCCCGCCTGCCCCAGAGGTGAC